AGAGTTGAATAGTTGCGGTACAGGTGATATATGGGCTGAAAGCCTGAAATACTCACCATCAGGCCTTTTAAGAAAAAGTCTGGCTATCCCTGGTTTAAAGCAAAAATAGTAGCAACATATTATGGGTTTACAGCATATGACAAAAACAGCACAAACATGGGAGGAAGGGCTTGGCCGTACACTGCGGAAAGGTTCTCCCACTACACATGAAGTGGTATAATAGTATTTGAAAATACCCTGTGATTAATTAAAGATGTATATTATAAAACCTAGGGCAACTCCTAAAAAAAGTTGAAAGAGGTAAACCCAATAAGATGGGATCTGAAAAAAATACTCAATCCAAAAGCAAGCAGAAAAAAGAAAAAAACCAACAGAGAGCAGATGGAACAGAGAACAATTAGCAAGATGGCAGGATGGAACTAATCCAACTCTATAAATATAATTGGTTTACACACCAATTGTAAGAGATTGACTATATGAGCAAGATCCAATGAACTGCTGTCTATAAGAAATGAACTTAAATTGTAAAGACATAAATCTGTTAAAATTAAGGGGGGAAAATGTATTCCATATAAACACTACTTTAAAGAAACCTGGAGTGGCTGTATTAATATTAGACAATTTAGATTCTGGACAAGGAATATTGTCAGAGATAAAGAGAGACATTATCTAGTGAGGAAAGGGTCAATTCTTCAAGACAAAATTCAATGATATAAATGAGCACATATCTAACAATGGAGCTTCCAAATGTATGATGCCAAAACGGTTAGGTTTAAAAATGTAGACAAACCCACAAATGTATTTGGAGACTTTATCTATTATTTATTTATTTATTTAATATATTTATAATATTATTTATATGATAAATATATTTATTTATTTATTTACTAAAGTCTCCAAATTACTCTCCTGGTAATTAACAGGATAAGAAGGTGGAAAACCAATAAGGATATATAAGACCTGAACAACACCATTAGTCAAGTTGACCTACTTAATATTTATAGAATGTTCCATTTAACACTGGCCAAATACACGTTCTTTTCAAGCGCACGTGGAGCATAGACCCAGATAAACTATATTCTCAGCTGTAAAAGAAACCCACATACTGGAATCATACAGAAAGAATGTTCTCTGACAAAAATGGAATTAAATTAGAAATCAGTGACGGAAAGGTAGCTGATGAACAACCAAATATTTTGAAATTGAACTACACACTTCTAAATAACCCATGCATCAAAGAGAGAGTTGTAAGGATAATCAGAACCCTATTTTTGACATGCCATCCCTCTGTCACTGCATGGGGGTCTTAGAGGCACTGCCAATCTGAATGCCCCAACCTCCTCCATCCAATGAATGGGCCTGTGTGATGGAACTCTATCTCCACAGAATTTGCATCTTAAGCAGAGAGCACGAGGGTAGAAAAGAGTTGGAGGAAATTTATCCCAGAGGCATTCTCTTAATTCCTCTGACTTTAATCTCAGGGCTCTCCCTGGCTTCTGTCTTCTTTAAGGTTTGCTTCTGTAGCTTTTGCTTTGACTCTGTGAGCTACCTCTAAATCCATTTTTTTTTTTAAGCTTAAGTTGTCCAGGCTTGTATTCTGTTTCTTACCGCCAAAGCTCACCTTAGGTTTGGCTTAATTCCACAAACATGTATTCTGCCTAAAATGTTGTACTGCCCTGGGGAGGCTCTGGGAGACTGACTTCCGGAAACTCCCAGGGTCCTGCAAGGCTCCCTACCTTTCACCCACATGTCAGACAGACCACAGCAGTGAGCATGCCCTGGTCAACCGAAAAGACCCAGGGCTTCAGGGAAGGGCACGATGATCTCTACAGGGACACAGAACTGCAGGGGTGTGAGGCAGATTCTGCTCGAGGAGAGGAACTTGACAGACTGGTACAAACTTTGGAATGCAAGAGGGATCCGAAAAGACCTATTTGTAGATATCAGCAGCCTTGCTGCAGGACTGCAGGGAAACCAGTTTTGCCAGAGTGAGGGGCAGAAATGCAGAACTGTCAAAACTACCCTGAATAATCCCTTAAACACCCTAAAATAGAGCAATGTATTTAGAGACCATATAGTACAAAATGTTATGCACATATATCTAGGCACTAAGGTCCTACTCAAGAAAGAGTAGCAAGAGCCTCAGTCTAGAAAGGGCACAAGGAGACCAAGACCTACAGAGAAAGTGCTGCGTTCACACTTCCCATCTCACCTCCTTGAGGGCCATCTATCCAATGAGCAGGGATGATGGGTGAAATGACCAGCCCTTTAAAAATAGCACACACTCCCTCTTTCATAATCGAATTTGCATGAGGTCAGGGTTATGATGTGGATGTTCAAAAAACTAGGTAGAATTGCGGGAGGTCTAAATCCTAACTCATCCTCTATCATTAACTATCTAGGTCACTATGAGGTCACTGGCCTCATCTGTAACATGGGGATATACTCTGTACTTGCTAAAAGGTAGGGAGGGGCTGGATCTGATGGGCTCTGATTATAAAATGTTAAACACATAGGACTTCTTTTTATCAAGAATAGAAAAAAACCCACTACTTTTTAGTGGACATAAGACAAAGAAGAGATGAGTGATTATATGTTACCGTAATGCTCAAAAAGACCTTAATGGTATCTCATCGCCCACAAGAAAGACTATCAAACCTGAGCCTGGGATTAAAAGCCCATCATATTTCAAGTGCAATTTCCCACTGCCTCATCTCAAACAGTCCCACCTCAGCCCCTAGCCCTCATGCTCAACACTGCAACTGTACCAGACAATGAGAGCCATCCCCTGAGAGGGACACATACCCTCAGCATCCGTGCTCTGTTCCCTCCACCAAGACTGCCTTTCCCTCCGTTCCTAATCTGTCACATTCCTGCTCATCGATCAAGTGTCAGAGGCCCCCAGGAAACCCCTCTATTCCCTGGTCAGGATTAACTGTCCTTGGGAGTTCTCATAACACTTGTTCCTCGTCTCGTCCTGGTTCCAGAGCCACTGACACAGAATCTGAATTGGTTGTGTGTGTGTCAGCCTTTCCATGAGGGTAGGGAATGTGTCCAGATGTTGTCAGGACTCCTTGACCTGGTACTGTTCTCTCCCTTGACAAATGGGGCTGTGTTAAGGACGAAGGAAATCATGCCTGTAAACCACTTGGGAAGCACCCAGGAAATTCTTTCTTCTCCATTAACGACGAGTGTGAAATACTCATTCAAAACAAAATCCAAGTTATCATATTATGTGTTTCTAATTTTTTATTATTTATACATTAGATTAAGCATGTGAATCTCTGTTCTCTTTTTTTTTCTTAGTGCAAGCTGGGGGAGTGCAGAGGGAGAGAGAGAGAATTTTAAGCAGACTCTATGCCTAGCATAGAGCGTGATGGATGTGGGGGGCAGGGGAGCTCGATCTCACGACCTTGAGGTAATGACCTGAGCTGAAATCAATAGTTGGACACTTAACTGGCTGGGCTACCCAGGCATCCCATAATTTCTGTTCTTTAGGGCCATAACTTACAGTAGCTAAAAATCAGTAAGATGTCACACACAGGGAAAGAAAAATGTACCTTGGTTTAGATTTTTTTTTTTAAAGAAAGGGAATCACATGTATGGGATTGTATCTTTAGGGAATGATAATAATGAAAATTTATTGAGTCACTTCTATGTGATCATCACCATGCTAAGCCCTTTATTTAAATTTACATAGAATCATCCTGAGGTTATTAATGTAAGGGCATAAAGCAGGGAGCAGAATCCAAGAGGGGGTCTATGTACTTGAGAACCTGAGCGCTTCCAGGAAGCCAAGATGGTGAGCAAAAGGGAAAAGAAGCTATTAACCACCCTCTAGTGATATCCCATCTACCACCTTTGTAATGATCTCCTTCTCTGGCTTACTAAGAAGTTGTAAGAATATCAATCAAGTAATCTGTGGTCAGATTTGACAGCGATTCTGATCTGTGTTAACATGCCTCAGATGGATTAACTGAGCCAGCCCGCATCAGTTAGCAGAGGTCACCCCATCCCCATTCTTAGTCTGCTAGGTTCAGGGTGCTCCTGACCCGCTCCAGCAAGGCACAGGATCCAGGCCAGCCAATCAGTAGATTTCATCTACCAGCCATAGGTTTAGTTCAGCAAGGACATATGACTCTAGCTGCAGGATCAGAATTCATTCCAAGGACTTTATGGACTTTTTGGAGAAGAGAAATTCTCTTTACATGGGGCTGATGGGAGAATGGCCTGTAACCGAGAGGTTTTCAGCAGTTATCTGCCATTCTATACTGCAAGGGAAGTGTCTCTTTGGTAAAGCCCATGCAGAGGAACACAAATAGAGATGAAGACAAGAGTCCTGCTGATACCACTTAAAAGGCTGGATCTAGCTGTGCCTGAAGTTAGATATATGCATGGACTTTTCTTTTTTTTTTTTTTAAGATTTTATTTATTTATTTGACAGAGAGAGAGAGAGATCACAAATAGGCAGAGCAGCAGGCAGAGAGAGGGGAAAAAGGCTCCCCGCTGAGCAGAGAGCCTGACACGGGGCTCGATCCCAGGACCCTGAGATCATGACCTGAGCCGAAGGCAGAGGCTTAGCCCACTGAGCCACCCAGCCACCCCTGGACTTTTTTTTGTTTTGTTTTTTTAAACTTGGGCCAGACTGGTTTCAGTCACTTGCAAGTGAAAGAGCTCTGGTTAATAACATCTGCTCAAAGTTGGGAGGGCTTTTAGGAAGCATTTAGTCTAATCCCTGGGTTGGGTAGATGGGGAAACTGAAGTACATAGGAAAAGGAATATATCCTGTCCAGTACAGGAGATTTAATGGCCGTGCTAGACAAGAATCCAGATCTCTTGTTTACCCAGTCTGCCTCTCTCCACGGTGCAGTTTCCTGGTATCTCTTCTCCACGCTGAAGACCTGATCCACATTCATGCTCTTGCTACTCCCCTCTTTAAGGAGAAGCTAGGCCAGCCCCACCCTGCACAACTTCCTCTCAGCTCTGCAGCCTGAACTCACTCACCAGCAGTTGGAGGGGTTGAGGATGATGTTCGCTTGGGTGGTGGTCCCAAAGCTGAGGTAGCCCAAGAGTCCTAGGCCTATGTCCAGAGTGGTGATCTCGAATGTCCCTCCAGATAGGGTAAGTGGAGACTGAGCATGGTTCTGCATCTTGTTTTCCAAAGGCAAAGCCTGTGAAATGAGGGGCCATAATTACACAGTGGCCCCCATTTATGTAGAGACCCCATTTACCCACTGTTTGTTATCCTAAATTCCTTCATCTCAGCCAACACAAAGCTTGAGAAGAAACAAACTCAAAGACATGACGCCACTCACTAGAAGGAACAACTAAATTATAACAATATCCATTACAGAAAAGACCTTAAAGGTTTTCTATCCAGCCGTCCATACCTGAGTGTCCTCTTCCATGCTCAGGAAAGGCTCTGCCTCTGAGCAGCTTTGTGGCCCATGGATGATGATGATGATGATTGTCATTACAGAAAATCTCATAATGTACCAGCCCGTGTCTTTGCAGGAGTTGTGCTTCTGCACACAGCCCACCAGGGGGGGCACCATCCCTAATTTCACGTCTGGAAGGTGACCTTCCAGCAAGAACAGGTGTATGGCCTGCAGGATAATTTTGGATTCCTTTTGCCTGGAATGTAGAGGGGAGACTACCTTACACAACCATAATATGCAACTCCTGACCGAAGGATGGAAAAAGAATATAGATCGTACTGAAGAAATATTTTCCTATTTGTGGTGTTAAGTGTCTAGAATAATTTGTACACAGTCATGCTTTATTATAGCTCCAGCTCTGTGATCTGTGATTTTGTGTGTCTGAGTGGTAATATGGGGGCATCGGCTCTGGACAAGAGTTCAGGAAGTCTTACTCGCTGTGTGTGTGTGTGTGTGTGTGTGTTTAGGGAGGGAGGGAGGGAACAGTGGAGGAGTCCATGGCAGGAAGACTCAGTGACACTCTCGTCAAAGGAGAACCAACAGGGAAACTGAAAAGAAAAGAGGAAGATCAGACGCAGCGTCGGGAGAAGAAATGCATTGATCTGTAGGCTGCAAGGTGAGAGCTTGAGCCTTGGCTTTGGAATTCTAGAGCCTTATGTGCTTAGACAAGCCTCGTCACTTCTGGTCCGTGGTTTCATCATCTGCGTATGGGTGTGAGCACCACTTCAAGCTGGAATAAAATTCTGGTCTCTATTTATTTGGAAGTATTTCAGGCTTGTGGAAAGTTGCAAGAATATAGCCTTATACCCTACCCATATATCCTTCACCAGATTCCCCAAAGGTTAACACATTTGATATTTACTTCTCTCTGTATGTGGGTGTGGGACATATATATCCTTGCACATATGTATGTCTGTATATACAGATGCACATATGCATCTGTATATAATTTTTTCTGAGGTATGTGAGAAAACTGGTTTGTATTAAATACTATGTTCCTCCTGTGATTTCATTCACAGCATTCTCAGGATAAAAAATATATTTGAAAACCATTGCTAAATTCCCCTGTAGTGCTCCCCTTTTTAGTAGTTTTTCTCAGGCTTCATTAAAATATCTCTAGTATCCAAAAGTGTGGATGAAGGACACAGCAAAGTAAATAGTAAATTTTTAATATGAAGACCATGTGTTTAAGTAGGGTTGACTTGTTGGCTGGGATTGTCAGAGAGGTTTTCAGTTCTCCTATTTCACAGATAGGTTAAACAAGTCTCATTGAAAAGAGAAGATTTCCCCAACATCCCACAGCTTTCTGTCAGATATTTCTCTCTAGCACGTTAGTATTCTCTCACCCACACTTGAAGGACTGCTGAAACAAAGTAATAATGACTTACTTTATGCCAACAACATGCTCTTTTATGTACATTATCTCACTGAGCCCTTACGACATCTTTTCTTTGCAGGTATTATAAACCCATTTTACAGATGAGGAAACTGAGGTTCGCAGACATTAAATAGCTTGTCCAGGATCATACAGCTTGACAAGACGAAGCCAGTCTCAAACCCATGTCTGTCGGCTCCACTGGGGTCAGGGAGAGAATGAGGGAGTTGAAAGGCCACTGATGCCAAGCCTCTGGTCTGATGCCTTAATTATACAGATGGCAAGCCTGAGGCTCCGAGAGGTGATCCTATGAAGAAGATCCTATGAAGATCCTATCTCTCTAACACAGATATGAGTTGCTAATATTTCTTAGGTCTTTATGAGGAGCCAGGCACGTGCTAAATTCTCTAAATGTACTGTTTAATTCTCACCATGATCCTACAGATTTAGGATTATTATCTTCATTTTAAAGATAAGGAAATCCAGGGGCGCCTGGGTGGCTCAGTGGTTTAAAGCCTCTGCCTTCAGCTCAGGTCATGATCTCAGGGTCCTGGGATCGAGCCCCACATCGGACTCTCTGCTCAGCGGGGAGCCTGCTTCCCCCTCCTCTGCTTGCTGCTCTGCCTACTTGGGATCTCTCTCTCTCTCTTTCTCTCTCTGTTAAATAAATAAATAAAATCTTTAAAAAAAAAAATAAGGAAATCCAGGCCTGGGACCTCTCTAGCTTTGGTTTCCCTAAAGCAAGGAAGTTGAACAAAAACATCATGTCTGAAACTTCAGTCATTTACCATACATGTGTCCCACCTATATAATTTTTCTCAATAAGTCAATGTTTTAAAACAAAACTGGTTTTAAAAAGAAGTATTGTAATGTAATTCTAAATTCTTATAAGTAGAAGAGAATGTATTAATATAAATACGTAACTAAGAAAATGAACAAGTATCACCTAATCCTCTCCCCCCTAAACTCATGACACACATCACCAGACGTATGGAAACATGTTTTGAACAACCAATGAATTAATGATCTCTAGGTCCAGTCCTATCTCTGACTGTAAGAAAACAGAATCCTGGAGTCTGGTGAGGCCTGACAGCTTAAGAACAATGCTCTCTGAGAGACACCAGCCATGAAAAGGAACACCTTAAAAATCCACTTGTAAACAAGATGATCTCTAGTTTGTTTACAGCAAACCTTCTCCAGGAGCCTCTAAAGGTACTTTATTCTTTCCGGGAACAGAGAGACCTTCTAGCCAGGGTGACCTGAAAAGGTGAGTAGGGGCTTCCACTGTAGCTCAGGCTTGGGGCAGGTGGGGGGGGGGGTTGTGGACCACATGAGATAGAGACCATCTGGAATTCACATGCAGTATCCTTTCCTTAACTTGGTTTTGGCTACTGAAAAAAAGAAACTGGCAGCTCTCTGAGCTCAGTCCTGATTGGGATTCGACAGGCTTTGAGTCTACTATAGGGCTCGGACACTGTAACATGCATGTGTATAAGGTGCTTTGGAACTTGGTGACTCAGAGAGTGGTCAGAGGACTGGCAACCTTGGCCTCACCTCCCCACAGGGAAGCTTGTTAGGAGTACGGATTCTCAGGCCCCACGCAGATCTCCTGAATCAGAATCTGCACTGTAACAAGGTCCCCAGGGGTTTCATATCCACACTGGAGTTTGTGCAGCCCTGCTCTGAGAGGCTGCTGATGCTTCTGGTCCCAACTGGGCATAACAGTGCTTCGGAGGAGTCATCCCAATGCTTGGCCCATCATCAAAACCAGCTGGGTAACTAAAACAAAACAAAACAAAGCAACAAAAACCCCAAAGATCCCAGGACTCTAATTCCAAAGATTCAGATCCACTACAACTGAAGGACGACCTGGGATCTGTAATTAAACAAGATAGAAAGGTGATTCTGCTGCTTAGCCAGATTAGGGGGAGGTACCAAGCTTATGTTTAGTGGTACTTACTAAGATCCAGACAGGGGCCCAAGCTCTTCACATCTCTTAATCTGTTTGACCCTCAGAACAGCCTTAGGAGATGGGTACTAGTATCAGTCCCATTTCCCAGATGGGAAAACTGAGGCCCAAAAAAGTGAAATAACTTATCAAAGTTGAAATGGGGGAGCTATAAACAAAATTCAGGTCACTTGTCCTGAGCACTGCCAGATATTTAACAGCATCCTTGGTTTCTGTCTACGAGGGGCCAGTAGATAGGACTGTTCCAGTTGTGACATCCAAAAATGTCTCCATGAGTTGCTAAATGTCCCCTGGAGGGAAAATTGCCCCTGCTTAAGAATCGCTGCTCTAGAGTCTAGACCTGAACCTGACAAACTTGCTCTGCTGCCTTTCTGAGAGCCACTGGGTTTTCACAAAATAGTTTTACACAACAGCCTAACAAGGTAAGAACTGTTAGTTTGATTTTAAAGCATGACTTATTCAGGGTCCCATGGCTTGTGAGCTGCAAAGCTAGGACTCAAATCCACATTTTAGAACTTTCCTTGATTGATTCTACACATGCCGGATGTCTGGGGGAAGGTTTTGTGTCTTGCAGATGAGCAAAGTTGAAGGCTAGGGATGGACTATGCCCAATCTTTATTCTTCATTTCCTTTTTCTTTCTTCAAGGTTGTCAAGGATATCTATGGGATTCTCTGCCCAGGAACCCTCCTTTCACATTCTGAAGTGGCCTGATCCCTTTGTATCAGTTATAGTTTTCATGAGTCCTTCTTCCCACTACAGTTAATTGGTCCAGGGGTGACACCTGACCCAAGCTCAACCAGTGAATTCCTTTCCTGGATTTCTGGGATGAGCTAGAACTCAGATTTGTTTCCTTCTGGTGCCAAAAATGGTAAAATCTAAAACTTAAGATCTGTGGACAAAGCTGGTTTGCATCAAGAGAAAGAAAGCCAATATGCATAGCCAACCTGAGCAGAGGCATGATATGGCCTGACTCCTGGGTTTGTGCTACTCCCAAAGCCTAACTGCCTTGGGATCCTTCTTGGGGCCTGGCTCTTCCATGCAAGTTCCCTGTATGATCTTTGTCCTACACTCTCCTTCCCCCGGCCCCAACTTACTTTTAGTTGAGTTGATTAAGAGTCCTTATTACAGTTTGTCCCCAATAACAAAATACTTACTTGCTGTTGTGGGGGAGCCTTCCGGTATCAGTAATCACTCCTAAAATTTCATGATCTGTGCAAACACACCGATAATCAAGTTCCTATTATTGTGAATGGGAAAAATTATGTCACATGACACATCAATGGCAAATACACAACCAATTTTTGAAACATAAGTAAAACTCAGTAAAATGTCTGTATGTAACCAATAAAGTATGATGTTTGGCTATAAATGTTTACCATGTGCTACTCAGCACAAATTAATGGGGCTGTTACAGAAAGTTGCTTTATTTACAGTAACATCTCCCACATCCTCTCTGTGGACATTCGTTCTGCTTTTTAAACTGTGTGGCATTCTAACATTTGATTGCATCTGCAGTATAAAACACTGTAAGACATGCCTCAATAATCTTGACAAAACAGGAAAAAATATCCAGTGGAAAAAAGATAGTCTCTTCAATAAATGGTGCTGGGAAAATTGGACAGCTATGTATAGAAGAATGAAAATTGACCATTCTCTTACACCATACACAAAGATAAACTCAAAATGGATGAAAGACCTCAACATGAAACAGGAATCCACTAAAACCCTGGAGGAGAACACAGGCAGTAACCTCTTCAACATCAGCCACAGCAAATTCTTTCAAGACATGTCTCCAAAGATAAAGGAAACAAAAGCAAAACTGAATTTTTGGGACTT